TCTACTAACTTTTTCACGGAAAATTTTATGTTATTTTAACGTTTAGTTTTAATGATAAAATGTTCTGTTTTCATCATGATTATAAAATTATTTAAAGGTTGCAAAATTGTTTCGCACAGCGTGCTACTAACTTTATTTTTGCCCGAAATATAACGTTATTTAAACGTTTATTTTTAATATATTTTACAAACTTTAAAATGTCTAGTTTTCTTGCATGATTGTAATGTTATTTAAACGTTATTAAAACATTTCTTAAAGCATTCTAACTTTTTCACCCAAAATGTAACTTTACTTTAACGTTTATATTTATATTGTAATATATTGTATTTTCTTTAAAGGTTAGAAAAACATTTCTTACAGAGTTCTACTAATTCTATTTTTGCCCAAAATATAACGTGAATTTTCAAAATTCGAAGAATCCTAAAATGTCCAGTTTTCGTGTCGTGATTAGAACGTTGTTTAAAGGTTATAAAAATGTATCTTACAATGTTCTATTAACCTTTTCACCCATTTATTTTTAACATTGTAAAAACACTGTCATGATTAGAAAGCTATTTAAAGGTTACAAAAACAATTCTTAAATGTTCAAGTACACATAACATCATAAGGACATTTTGAGTATGTTGTTCCAAGAACATTTTCTCTCAACGTTATGAGAATGTATATCAAATATGAATACATTTATAAGTGTTCCATAAACATTACACTTCGTCCTAACATTTATATAACTTTTAAAAACATTAGTACGTTTTTAAGAATAGCAAAGTTTGGAACATTTAATGGAGACCACACTTCTTAAAGAAACAGAACATGTTTTTTATTATTATTGCAAACGTTGATGTGGAATATTCAGACAGGCTTTTTTTGAGGCTTTTTCATCACAGAGAAAAAAAAACAAGTGTTGGTATATTCACCAGTTATTGCATGTGAATTGGCTCAGAGAAGAGGCTCATGGGTAATCATGTCTTCATAAACAACACACTAATGAAAGCACATGAAATGACTTCTGTAAGAAAACAGAATCACAGTGACAACAGAAATTACTTTATGCCATAATCATCGACATTATAATTCAGAGATGATGCATAACTCTTATAAACAAAATGTGCTGAATCTCATATTTGTTCGCTTTGGTAAAATATTCCAGGAGTCATAAAATGATGCAAAATAATTTTGATGCTTAAACACTGAACAGTTAGATTTCACACTATGCTGAAAATAAAAGCAACACATTTCAGTCACATATATTTTAGATTCTTTCTTCCATTCTGCCTGAACTCACATTTAATAAGAGTAAACGTCAAGTATTTAAAATGTACAGGTGAATCTAACGAAGAATATGCGAAGGACACATTTAACCTCGAAATCAAATGAAGAAAGGAACATAAAAAAATTAAATAATTATTTTCTGCTTTGAGACATTAGTTTCATGACATTTCCCTCAAAACAGTGATGTAATACAAAATAAAAAATAGATATATATTCATAAAATACTGTGTTTTTTATTTTTTTTTAAAGACCAAGTACTATGATATTTAAATGCTTTACAATCCAGGAAAGCGTTATGAAAATGTCACAGTGTAAAAATAAATAAATAAATAATAATAATAAAAAAAAAATATATATATTTTTTTTAAATTAAATTAAATTAAATTAAATAAAAATATATATATAAAACAGAACATGTTTTTTATTATTATTGCAAACGTTGATGTGGAATATTCAGACAGGCTTTTTTTGAGGCTTTTTCATCACAGAGAAAAAAAAACAAGTGTTGGTATATTCACCAGTTATTGCATGTGAATTGGCTCAGAGAAGAGGCTCATGGGTAATCATGTCTTCATAAACAACACACTAATGAAAGCACATGAAATGACTTCTGTAAGAAAACAGAATCACAGTGACAACAGAAATTACTTTATGCCATAATCATCGACATTATAATTCAGAGATGATGCATAACTCTTATAAACAAAATGTGCTGAATCTCATATTTGTTCGCTTTGGTAAAATATTCCAGGAGTCATAAAATGATGCAAAATAATTTTGATGCTTAAACACTGAACAGTTAGATTTCACACTATGCTGAAAATAAAAGCAACACATTTCAGTCACATATATTTTAGATTCTTTCTTCCATTCTGCCTGAACTCACATTTAATAAGAGTAAACGTCAAGTATTTAAAATGTACAGGTGAATCTAACGAAGAATATGCGAAGGACACATTTAACCTCGAAATCAAATGAAGAAAGGAACATAAAAAAATTAAATAATTATTTTCTGCTTTGAGACATTAGTTTCATGACATTTCCCTCAAAACAGTGATGTAATACAAAATAAAAAATAGATATATATTCATAAAATACTGTGTTTTTTATTTTTTTTTAAAGACCAAGTACTATGATATTTAAATGCTTTACAATCCAGGAAAGCGTTATGAAAATGTCACAGTGTAAAAATAAATAAATAAATAATAATAATAAAATATATATTTATATATTTTTTTTAAATTAAATTAAATTAAATTAAATAAAAAAAATAATATATATATATATAAAAATAAATAAATAAATAAATAAATAAATAAATAAAATAAAATAAAAAAGTGGCTTTATTTTTCTTTCTTTTTTATTTTATTATTTTTTGGAAGAAATATTTTTATTTATTTTTATTTTATTGTGAGATTTACCTGTGCAATGTCACACAGTCACCTGCATTCAAAATGATACTTGCTAAAGTGCATTTCATACGCAAGATCATAAAAGCATTTAGCAAATCACTCAATTTTTTTTACAGTGCAAATTGTTTTAATCCTAACAGCTTCTGAAACATGAACCATCATCTGTGATCAGCACTTCATCCTGAAGAAATGAACGCGTGTGAACACAACACACATGACACTGACATCAGAGTACAGAATATTAATAACACCTACAGTAATTAATATCACACAGCAGACCTGAATCAAAGAGAGCTACGCTTACGGCATGAGTTCAGAAACAAAACCTCCAGACGACACTGTTATTATTTTAGGCAAATTCAAAAATCAATATTCAGAGTCCGTAGTTCCAAGATTCACCTGCTTTCTTTCAGTTTCTTAGATTTTCACAGAAACGTTTACAGTGAGACACGGGAGAAACTCGTTTGTGTTTGTGTTTGCGGGACATTTTCACTCAATTATTCCTTCAAAGTTTAGTATCATTTAGCATTTGGCACTATTGAACGTGAGTGTGATTGAATAAAAATATGTGCTCGTCATGTACGGAATCATGCTTCTGCATTTTAGTCTCGTGACATTTGTTCAGACATCATGGGAATCATCAATAAATCCATCTCAATCGCTCTTTCACACTGTTATATTCACTGATGTGATTCAAAGGAAATCATAGCTTTCCTTCTATAAATCTGAAGGTAAAATTAGTTCTTTACAAGAGTTCTGAACATGAAAATATGGATGTTTTCATAAAATGATGCACTTGAATCCCGCTGTTTAGTAAATCAAATGCATGTTAATTTCATTGTGAAAAATTGCATTTATGAACAACACTTGGTGGAATAATTGATAACTTAGTTATCAATGTTAATACATGTAACTATTGATTGAAATCGGCGTGTTTGATCATATTGCTGTTCACATTGTTTTAAAGCACAAGAGGGTGTGCAGTACAGTGATTTACCACAGTAAAACTCTACATGAAACGCTGTTTGCGGACCGTTTTAATCATAATTACAATAACATAACAGCTAACAAACAGTTTTGCCAACATTAACTAAGTGGTGAAAAAATTGTTTTAATTGTGACAATGTCCAGCATTAAGTTTATTTTTGGCTATGTGAACATTAGAGAAACATTCCATTCAATCATTTTGAAAATGTACACATATTTTATAAAGAATGTTTCTTTCTTGGTTTCGGAATTTTCCATTTTATCATTTTGAAATCGTGAAAATGTTTTTTTTTGTTTACACTTTATCGTTTAATAAAACTTGTACAACACCGATTTTCATCCTATTTAAGGAGCATTTTTCTTTGTTTTGCAAACGTTAGAGGAAAATTCCATTGATCAGTTTGAAAACATTGTGAAAACGTTACATTTAAATGTTCTCTCGGCGTTTAAAACACCCATTTTTGTGTTTAAAGAACATTTCGTTGGGGTTATGCAAAGGTTTGAGGAATGTTACATTCTATCATTTTTAAAACATTATCAGAATGTGACATTTGAATGTTCTCTCGACATTTAAACACAGTTGACGTAGTTATACGCATTATTTCTTAGTAATGTGAAAACATTCGAGTAGTGGTTCTCAAACTGGTGGTGTGTGAACAAAACCGTCAGATCCAGCAGAAAGTGGCAGTATCGGAGCGATACCGATAATCGGCGCACCCCTACTTTTTATATTTCATATAACATTCAACCGAGAATGTGTTTGTCACAGGCTAAATATATAAGCGCGTGCCCCCTCTAGTGTACAAAGAAATGGTAGTGCCATATTTTCATATCAAAATATCAATTCATATCAATGGTAAATAAATGCAGAATTGCACTGTCTGTTTGCTCATGTGCATCAATTGGAATGTAAACAAGTGAGAGATGTTGAGACAAGTGCGACGCTTACAAACAACATTGTGGAATAAAAGAGAGGCGAAAAATATAAGGTAAGCTGGCAAACAGGTACGCTTAAAAGTGTAGAAGGAGCGGACGGTTGCATTATCTATTTTAACATGTGCATCAATTAGTGTGCATGTGCATCAAATGTGCATACATGCATCAAAGGTTGCATACAAATTAATTAAAATACTTTAGCGTGAGAGAAGGGGGACGCAGAAGGACTTTAAATGCCCAAAAAGTTTGAGAACCACTGCATTAGAGCAACACTCCATTCTATCATTACGAGAACGTCACATTGTTACTGATGAATGTTATCGAACACAAGTTACTACTTTTTGATGAACATTTATTATTTACTTGAAATAACGTGCACTGATGCATAATTCACAATATAAGGGAAGAGCACGGATATAAGGGAATGAGTCTGTCGTGTTGACTTTTAAGAAGGTAAAACGAGCATGTGTTATTGGTTAATAACACAGATCAGGAGCCCAAAGAAACGCAGTGTGAAGTACAGCAGCGCTTACAGATCAGGAAAAGGAACTTTTTTGGGGGAAGGACGTTCACAGTGATCCTCCAACAGCGCCGAGCCCTTCAGAAGAACCATAAATAGCGGGACAGGAGCGACGCGACTCCGCACAGTTCTCCGGTGTGAGATTGTCAGTCGTTCATTCTTCAGTTCTGCTGATGTGAGTGAAGGCGCTCCGAGTCCTGGAGGCCCAGCAGATCGAGTCCAGCCTGAAGATCTTCATCGTAAGACGCTGCTGAGGACCTTCATACACGTAACCTCCACCGACTCCTTCCAGATCCGGAGGAGCCACAGTCAGCCGGAGTCAGCCGGAGTCTGCAGATCAAACACAACGCTCATCAGTCTCAGTCTGCATCAGGACTAGTCTTCTCAAAAGAACCGACTTCGGTGCTGACATTTTAAAAACGTCCATTTGAGCGCTGTTTAGCAGATTCTTAAACACTGCTGATTGGCCGATGTGTTGTTCACAGGCTCAACAGATATGTCTGTGATTGGCCACAATGATCATCGCTTCACGCTCTTCACCGAGCCGCGTCTACCTGTGCAGAAATATTAGGGATCCGCTGACAGACACTAATTAGGACTGTTTAACACATCTGAGAATAATAATAATAATAATAACACAATAGCCATGCATAATAGAATTGTAATAAAAAATAATTATAGATTAATAATCATAATAATAACCCTTTATTGTAAGTATAATAATAATAATACTATTAGTAATAATAATAATAATAATAATTTCCCCCTTGTAATAATCATAATAATAATGTAGCCCTTTATTATGATATAATTAATAAAAACAATAATAAAAATGAGCACTTTATTATTATAAGAGGAGTCAGTATAATCATAGTAATAACACAATAGCCATGCATAATATAATTTTAATAAAAAATAATTATATAATAATAATAATAAAATAACCCTTTATTGTAAGCATAATAATAATTTTATAATAATAATAATAATTTCCCCTTGTAATAATAATAATCACAATAATAATGTAGCCTTTTATTATGATATAATTAATATCAACAATAATAAAATTAGCACTTTATTATTATAAGAGCAGTCAGTATAATCATAATAAAACATCCTGTTAGAATAATAATAATAATAATAATGATAATGTAGCCCTTTGTTATAATAAAATTAATAATAATAATAATAAATTAGCACTTTATTATATTATTATTATAAGAGCAGTCAGTATAATCATAATAAATTATCACCTTATAATAACAATAGTAATACATATTCCATAATAATAATAATAATAATAATAATAACAATAAATTAGCACCTTATTATAATATTATTATAAGAGCAGTCAGTATAAAATAATTACAATTATAAAATTAGCCCTTTATTATAACAACAACAACAACAACAACAATAATAATAATCATAATAATTATTATTATTATTTTGTTGTTTTTTTATACTTATGTTTTATTATAATTATTATCATCATCATCATAACATGGGTATAACAATAATAAATTAGTACATTTATTATAATATAATTATAAGAACAATGATTACATAATGACAACAATGATAATAACAATAACTTAGACATTTATTATAAGAACAATTATTATTATTATTATTAGTGGGAATATTATTGAATAATTTTAATGCTTAGTTTGTGGAAATGAGACTGAAGGCCTGTGCAAATCCTGAAGTCAAATATGAAAGCACATCCATGAACTCAAACTCGGTATACATGATTGAGTTTGGGAAGATTCTAACAGCAGTATATGGACAATAAAAGCAATATTCAGTATTCATCACCCAGAAGCTGTTCCTGTTAAAAATAAAGCGTGAGCTGGCCTACTTCTGACTCACACCAATCATTATCTCTTATTAAACAGACCGGCACAATCCCAGACGCAAGGACAGAAGAAGGACAGAGACAGAAGAATCACTTCAGCGGCACATGATTGTGAGATTTCACACGCTTCACATGATCATGCATCAGTGTAATGAGCGACACTCCTGCAATATTTCACTCATTCAGTGATCCGCAGCACTACACACAAGAGCAGCGCTTCTGCATCGACACATATTCATGTCTGATAAACGAGCGTTTACATGCACACCACTTTAAATGCTCATAAATAGATGCATGTCTTACTCTTCAGTGGCACGGATATAAAATAGTGCTGTTATTTATCTCTAATATGAAGCAGACAGTGTTGCTTTTTTCTTTAACACTTCACATTGTGATCCATTAGATATTTTAGTATTTATCAGGTACTATTACAGTATTTATTAATAATTTGTACTAGTTTTTATTTTGACATTTTATGTTTTCATTTGAATTTTAGTTAAAGGTTTAGTGATTTTGTTATGTTTTGTTTTTTAGTTTAGTTGTTTCTTTATTTTCTTTATACATCAATTTTTTTTATTTAGTTTTACTTATTTTAGTACATAAAGTAAGTGTAGCAAATGAAAATGAGAAAGGTTGAAAATGAAAAAAGTATGTTTTTTTTTTGTGTTTCAGTTAATTTTATGTAATAACATAACATGATTTTTCATGGTTTTAGTTAACTTTAGTTGACTAAGTATTTTTTTTAATTAGATTTAAATACAAACAATCATTGCATTATGATTGAATTTTTAGATTATTATTTTTATTATTATTATTATTATACAAATATGTTTAATGGGTAAATGACCTAAATTACTGGGATTTTTAAAAATTATATAATTTTATAAATATTTTATTGGAAAATATAATTATTTTAATATTTAGATCCTGTTTTACAGAAAACAATAATTTAAAGCGAATTGAGAATGAGAAGAACTTAAGAATAAAATATTATTAAAAAGAATAATAAATAAATATTAAAATAATTAAAAAAATCATTAAAAGTAAAATGTCCATAAGCATTACAATAGTGAGAATTTTAATGGGAAAACATGTTATTAAAAATCAAGAAGGAAAACCCTTGTTGGTCGCAAAAAAATGATTATATCGAAATGCAACTTTTGATTTCCTATAATTTTAGGGTGAAATTTTATCTCTATTTTTCATCAATCCACCAAACAGAAAGTACTGCACAAGACACTAAGAAATATAGAAAATCTCATGCTACTGATATAACATTTTCAATTAATCTCTTATCAGATTTATTGTGTTTTATGCTATTTATTTCTACATTTTTGTCCGTTTAAGCTTGACAGGATACAGTAAAGCGAGCTGCACACGTCTGTAGATGTTTGAGTATCGCTGCTAATGAAGAAACACACAGAAAGGACTGGAGAAATGAATTCATCAGATGATTTTCTGTATGATCTGGATTTCCTCAGTAGATGACGGTTCTGAAGAGCTCGAGGGCTTCACACACAAACAGCCGTTTAATTAAATCAAGAACATGACGAGCTTTTGTGCGGCTGCTGGAATCAATGCACTGTTTATTGATTTAGAAATTCACTGATGAATCGTGATCAGGCACATTTCACATCACAATCAAACACAACGAAAAGAAAAGAAAGTGCGTCTTCTTGAAGGGAAATAAAGATTGTTTTTTTGTATCATGCCTTTATTTTCAAGACAATTAAACACACATTCCCCTAAAGTCTCATGATAGCAATGTGAAAAATCTCAGCGAAATGTTCGAGATGTTCTGAAATCTGTCATCGTAAAATGTAAACTGTATTATTGCACAGCACTATATATAAAGTTGGAAGTGTATTACATTAATTAAAAATTAGTTTTTCCATCAGGTTTATTATTAACAAAAAAAATGTAAAAAAATAAAATTAAATATATAAAGTAGGGGTGCGCCGATTATCGGTATCGCTCCGATACTGCCACTTTCTGCTGGATCTGATGAGACCGATCCAAATCCGATATTGTGCATATATACTATTCTGTGTTATTGTTAAGCCCCACGAAAGGCACAAAAACATTATTAAGCACCATAAAATTTCCGTGCACTATATTTCAAGTGTTCTGAGACCGTTCCATAGTTTAATGTGAGGTACGAATAATTAAGTCGTTAAATTCAAGTTCCCATAAACTCTTCTCTCTGCTGCGGCTGTCTGTCATCCTCATTCAGTGTTACGACAGTCAAGACGACGAAACACTCTCTAACAATGTTCCTCTTATTATACTTGATCTTGCTGGAGTTCCGTGCTGTTTCTAAAGCATGTTAACATTACTTTCTACCGGCTGTCTGTTAGATCGTGGAGTACAGAGCACTATGCATTGTTATTCACGCGTACAGTAACTGAAATTTAAAACCATTAAAAGAAAAGGCTAAAAAAACGAACGCACAGATATTATACATCTATGTCTCTTCCCTTTGTGCTTTGAACTTTTCTATGCGGAGTTGCATAGAAAGATGACTCCATGTTGCTTCAAGTGTATCTTTCTGTGCACGGGATGCGTATAAACGCTTTGTGCCACTCTGTATTGGAGCCTTTCATGTTATAATACTTTTGCGCAATGAAATATTATTAATAGCCTTTCTTGTTCTGTCCTATCTATCATATGTTGCTGCCTCATTACTGTGCTATAAATGTAAAAGAAATGTATTTAATTTATATTTACTTGTTTTTCATGAATGTATTTTACAATACAAAGAGCAATGTGTAAAATTTACCAGATTACACTTATTTACTTTTATTTTTCCCCCACTAAATAGTATTTTATCTCTAAATGTTTAGATTTTATACAATTATTGTGAACTCATCAGTAACTTTTGCTGCTGAATTATCCACTAACCTAGTTAATAATAGTATTTTTCTCATAGATTATGATTTGATATTTTTTAATTTGTTATTTTTCTTTATAATGAAGTTGTCTATATTTAGTAGATTGTGTGTAATACACAAAAGAGTGATGATCGGGTCAACACACACTGAGGTATAGAAAAAAAAAAACTATCGGTATTGTCCGATACTCAGAACTTTTGGTATCGGATCGGTAACGGTATTGTCCGATACTCAGAACTTTTGGTATCGGATCGTTATTGGTACTGTCCGATACTCAGAATGTTTGGTATCAGATCGGTATCGGTATTGTCCGATACTCAGAACTTTTGGTATCGGATCGGTATTGGTACTGTCCGATACTCAGAACGTTTGGTATCGGATCAGTATTGGTACTGTCCGATACTCAGAACTTTTGGTATCTGATCGGTATTGGTACTGTCCGATACTCAGAACGTTTGGTATCGGATCGGTATTGGTACTGTCCGATACTCAGAACGTTTGGTATCGGATCGGTATCGGTTCTGAAAAAAATTGTATTGTGCATCCCCTAATAAAAAACTAATTTATCTAATTTCAGTTATTTGCTAAGACAACATTTCTCAAGTTGAAGAACTAAACTAAAATTAAATCAAACAAGAAAACAACTAAAGCTTGATAAAAACTATATAGACATTTAAAAATAATAAAAAAATAAACACAACACAATTAACTAAAATTAAAACATATATATAGAACGTGTTATTTTTGTATCACTGAGATACTATTAAAGTTTTTGTAAATATTTTGAGTTTAATATTAATAATATTGTTAATTATTTAATAATATTTAATATTAATTAATATTGTTAATGTTTTGAGTTTTTTCATATTTTCTGATTTCATCTTAATTTGACTTCAAGTTTTTTTAATATGTCTATTTAGTTTTTAAAATTTTTAGTTATGTTAATACATCAAGATAAACTAAATGAAAACGATAAATGTTGCCTTGCAAACTTCATAAATTTCTTTTTTTTTTTTAAGTTTAAATTTTTATCTTATATAGTCTTATTTCAGTATATTTAATTTAATTTCGAGTAACAAAAATGTTTTTTTTTATGGGTTTGGATTTAGTTTTAGTTAACTATAATAACCTTATGACACAGTATATACAGTTTTTTCAACTGCAAAGTGTATATCAATACAACACAGCAACACACCTACATCACACGATTAGCCAAAGAGTTAATTTTCTGGCCAAAACCGCATTTTGTTAAATAAACACAAACTCTACATTTCACAATGCTGAATACCTTTTTCTACACATACTAACTCTATCAAAACACAGCCAACCCGATTCAAAATCGAGTCATTCGGTCAAAACATTAGCACTAGTTTCAATCCAACAGGAACATAAAGTCAATCATAGCACAGTGACTGTTAAAATACTAACAGCTGATGGCTTTACAAAAACTGCACTACTTCTACCTGCATATAATAGACAATATAAAAATGGAAAGAGCTTCAACACCTGACTATTCCTCCAACTGAGACTGGAATCAGCTTTTTTGTAAATATTTCAGTGATCGGTTACTTAAAAATGCTTATCGGTTGTTACAATATTTTATATAGAGAGTTTTTTTTCAATACCTTTGAGCTGCTGTTGTTGCAGAAGCTTTATACTATATTTAAGGTTTGGAACATTAGGTCTATAAAATAGTGCTGTTATTTATCACTAATATTGCTGGTGATTTTCATTATATTTCTGTCAGCGTTTTACATTGTGAACCATTAGTTAATTTATTCATTAGTTATGTATCAGATACTATTATAGTATTTATTAATATTTTGTAATAGCTTTTATTTTTTAATTTAGTTAAAGGTCTAGTAATTTTGTTTGTTTTGTTTTTTAGTTTAGTTTTTTCTTTATTTTAAATACATACATTTCTTATTTAGTTTGACTTAATTTCGTACATAAAGTAAGTGTAGCAAATGAAAATGAAAAATGTTTCCTTGGCTGAAAAAAGTATGTTTTTAAAAAAAATATATGCATTTTATTTGATGTTTTTTTGTGTGTGTGTGTTAAAGTTAATTTTATGTCAAGCAACATGATATTTCATGGTTTTAGTTAACTTTAATCTTTGCATTGTGATTGAATTTTTAGCTTATTATTATTATTGTTATTATACAGATATGTTTAGTGGGTAAATTACCTAAATTACTGGGATTTTTAAAAATGATATAATTATTTTAAAATGTAGTTTGTGAAAATGATACTGATAAAGAGACTGATCCTGTTTTACAGAAAACGATAATCTAAAGCGAATTGAGAATGACTGCTGAGAATGAGGAGCACTTAATAATAATAAAATAAAATAATAATAAAAGCTGCTGTTGTTGCAGAAGTAGAGGCTTTATACTATATTCAAGGTTTGGATCATTAGGTCTTCATTTCTGACATGCTGTGTTTAAGCTTTTGGAAATAACTCACTGCATATTGTGTGAAAACAACATGAATTGTGTTAATGGTATATGGAGTTTTAAAAATGTGACGAGAGATTGGACAAAAGGATGTTAGCAATTGAAAAAAACTCATATATATTAACCCTATAATAAATATTTTAAAGCACAGTATATAAAGTTAAATATATATTATATCCCGCTTTATCTGCATGCATGCATACAGTACACTGACATAAAGCAATATATGCACTATTAGTTTTTGCTTCAAAATATTTCTATATAGCTTCAGTTTAAATTATTTCATGTAGTTTTCAAAGCAAAATCAGGGATATTACTGTTAACTAAAAGTAAAACACTAAAAAACATTTTCATTACTTAAATAAACATGAACATTAAATTACTTTATAAAATGATTTTGTTGTGCACAATTGTCTTTTTTGTTTTAAATATTTCAACATAGCTTTAACTTATTATTTCAGCTTTAATTTGAGTAATTTTAGTTTTTCATCAGGGTTGTTATTGTTAATAACAAAAAAACTAAAACCATAAAAACATTTTCATTATTTGAAATAAAATAAACGTTAACTAAAATGTTTGAGTTTCAGTAATTTTATGTGCTTTTGTCATATTATTTTTTGTTTTTAAATCTCTGTACATAGCTTTAATTTATTTTTGTTTCAATTTTAGTTTTAGTCATTTTAGAACTTCAAACATTTTCATTTAGTTGCCAAGGCAAAATTTATATTTTTTATGTTTAAGTTTAACAATTTTAGATTTTAATTTTAGATTTTATATGAACTTTATGTACTAAAACAACTAATACTGAAAAAAACTAAAATCCAAAACTATATAAACTAAAACTAACAATTTTTATCTATAAAATAATCTATAAAATCGTCTTTGTATTTCCATGACAGTTACGTGTTTGGCGTTCTGATTTTGTCTTGCACTCTGCAGACCAGGTTGCTGTTTGAACCAGAAACAATAATATCCAGCGGCACGCTTTCATCTTTTGCCTCATTTTTGTGTCATTTTACATTCATATTAAAATAAATAAATTACATTAAAATGCAAAGTAATCACTTTGGTAATCTAAAATACTTTTCGCATGTAACTGTAATTTGATTACTCCCCATTTAAAATGTAACTATAACGAAATACAGTTACTCATATTTTGTATTTTAAATACGCTGGAAATTAAAGTTGCAAGTTGTGGTGTTGCAACTATAGTCTTCTGGACTTGTCTGTTTCACACCATGCTCTGTATCGTCACATTACTGCATATTTATTAATAACTCGTGTGTAAACAACATAAAACAGTCCTGCCTGCTCTGCAAATACATTTACCGTGGTATAAACAGAACAGACGACACATGATATATGTGATGATAGACTGAGACGCTAGACATGCATCAAATGATAGAACGACAGACGGACAGACGGACAGACGGACAGACGGATAGACGGATAGATGGATAGATAGATAGACAGACAGACAGAGAGAGACAGACAGATAGATAAATAAATTGACAGACAGACAGACAGACAGACAGAGAGAGAGAGACAGATAGATAGATAAATAGACAGACAGACAGACAGACAGAGAGACAGAGAGAGAGAGAGACAGACAGATAGATAAATAAATAGACAGACAGACAGACAGAGAGACAGAGAGAGAGAGACAGACAGATAGATAGATAAATAGATAGACAGACAGACAGACAGAGAGATAGATAAATAGACAGACAGACAGACAGACAGACAGAGAGAGAGAGACAGATAGATAAATAGACAGACAGACAGATAGATAAATAAACAGACAGACAGACAGACAGACAGACAGAGAGAGAGAGACAGATAGATAAATAGACAGACAGACAGACAGACAGACAGACAGACAGACACGCCATCTACCACGAGATATCTTTAATTAAAAAAACATCTAAAACTAATCTGCCCTCACTTTTTTTCTTTTAATCCATTAACATATATTTCAGATATATTGGACTGTGGCATAAGAGGAGTGTAAAAGAGGATCCTCAGGAGTGTAGAAGATAATTCATTAATAATAATAAGTAGAGGGATTGATTTAGTAAAGTTTACTTGTGCTACACTGATCGTTTTTGAGGATGTAAGTGTTTAATGGGTTTGAGGTGTGCAGGTGGAACAGGGTGTTTGTGCTGCAGGATGATTCATGAACAGGATTTATGAAGCCATATCTTCGGTGTTTATGATGTATGATATGAGGCATGACACGACTAACCAATCACCAGCATCACATGTGACACAACATACCAAACCCTCTCGCTCCAGGCCAGATCGCTCTTATCTGTGATTTAGCATCTCTGTGCTCTAGATCTGCAGATTACATCTGGCTTCGGGTCACTGATATCCACTGCAGACGTATGCTGTGTTTTTCCACTCACATGCTGAGAAGATCCTGCAGACGGGCGTCAGCGGCGAAGTGTGCGGAGGACGAGACACTGACGACACTCGAGCATGAGCCATCCTTCCCAGAATGCGCCAAGCTGTCCAGAAGAAGGCGGGTCAGCAGAAAGTGGCCTAGATAATTAGTGGCAAAATGAGTCTCAAGCCCGTCTTCAGTTCGACCTTCAGGAACCAGCATAACAGCAGCTAACATGAAACACAGAGCACAGGTTCACAGAATGATTACTAGTTCAACATCTACTAGACCAACATCTATAGTACTAGTTCAACATCTACAGTACTAGTCCAACATCTATAATACTACTTCAACATCTATAGGACTAGTCCAACATCTACAGTATTAGTCCAACTTCTACTAGTCCAACTTCAACAGTACTAGTCCAACATCTATATGACTAGTTTAACATCTATAGGACTAGTCCAACTTCTATTAGTCCAACTTCTAATAGTTCAGCATCAACAGTACTAGTCCAACATCTACAGTATTACGTCCAACATCTACTAGTCCAATATCTATAGGACTAGTCCAACATCTACTAGTCCAACATCTGTAGGACTAGTTCAACATCTACTAGTCCAACATCTACAGTATTAGTTCAACATCTACTAGTCCAACTTCTACAGTACTAGTCCATCATTAAATATATTGTTGCTATTTTTATTATTATTATACTTATATTTATATGTTTCTATTATTAATGAATATTTATGTAAAAACATATTTTTTATAATTGAATATTTACATAAAACATATATTCATATAAAACACTTTATGCATATAGAACATTGTTATTGTTCCTATTATTAAATAATTATATTATTAGTGTTATTGTTATGATTATTATTATTCACGATTATAATCTGAGCAAACGAGCGGCTGATGGAGTTCAGCACATTGACCCCATTACAGCTGATTCTCATTAAGCACGTTTATCTTCATCAATCACTCTGAATAAGATCACAGAGGTGTTCATAATCACGAACATCAGTGTTCCTCACAATCAACCGCCGCACTGTTCAGATGCTCTGAGCACATGTAATCGGGATTAAACTGATATAAATAGTGTTTTAATCAGAAATGGGTCTAGTAATGATCGTCTGACGTCACTCTGACTGCCTGAGGTGACAATGACCAAAATAATAGCAAACTACTGCACCGTGACCCAGAAACGCCTCTGGTCTGATCTGATAGCAGGACAAACTATTAGAAGCAGAGAATCACGGCCAGTAAAGAAGACACTTCCCATTGCTTCTGTTTTCAGACTCAAATTCATTGATAGACGCTTGTTTAATCATTTTGAGTAAATGCTCATGAGGCAATCACATTTCTGCTGTTGTTTAGACATGCACGCTATTCTTAATTGTCCTATTATGTCATGTTAATCATTTTATGTATTATTGGGTCTGTACAATTCATTATTTATATCTATGCACTTTTATCCATAATGACTTTCAAAGACGTTGCATTCAAAGTAGGGCTGCATAAATTGGGGGAGAAATTTTTTTTGTGATTTTTTAGATAAACATTTTTTTATGGTTGAAAATGTGATTTAGAAAAATCTAGGGATGCTCCGATCCGCCTTTTTTCCCTCCGATACCGATTCCGATACCTAGGGTTCAGTATTGGCCGATACGATCCGATCTGATACCAGTGAAGTTTTTTTCCCTCATTTAAATAAATGTAGAATTTATACATCTCTGTGTGTGGAACTGATAATCATTCTTTCACAATCTACTAGATACAGACTACTTCATTATAAAGAAAAATAAAACAAACAATAAATCTGAAAAAATATAGGCCTATGTATATTTATAATCTATGACAGAAATGAATCATAAACTAGGTTAGTGGATAATTCGGCAGCAAAAGTTATTCTAGAAAAATCAGTGCACAATGATTTTAGAAATCCAAACATTTAGTGAAAAAACTATATTTTGTGGGGAACAAATAAAAGTCCTAAATTGGTAAAATGTTACACATTGCTATTTGTATTATTATAAAATCCATTCATTAAAAATATTCATGAATGTATTTATATATAAGTATATACTATAAAATTTAAATA